CTTCGCTGGTAAATTCTACCAAACATTTAGGAATTAATTCAAATCCTTCTCAAATTCTTCCAAGAAACTGCAAAGGAAAGAACACTTCCAAACTCATTTTATGAAGGCCAGCATTACTCTGGTACAAAAGCCATAGAAGGACACTACAAGAAAAGTACAGGCTGATATCCCTGATAAACTTCTAGGTTTTTGAGATGAAAGCTTATATATGACACTATTTCTTCTTCTGAATGTAAGCATTTAATGCTATATTTTCCCTCTAAGCACTACTTCAGCTGTGTTCCACACATTTTGATATATTATATTATCATTCAGTTCAATTTACTTTTTGATTTCTTAAGAGACCTCCTCTCTGACCCATGGATTGCTTAGAAGTGTCTCATTTAGTTTGGAGATATTCCTTGTAACATTTGGTTATTGATTTCTAATTTGATTCCATTGCAGTTGGAAAATATACTCTGTATGATTTCAATTTTTAAAAATTTGTTGACATTTATTTTATGGTGTATATTGCTATATTTCTGTGGGTTCTTGAAAAGAATGTGTATTCTCCTATTTTTGTGTGGAGCATTCTATAATTGTCAATTAGATCCTATTGGTTGTTGGTGGTGTTGAGTTCTTCTATATCCTTGCTGGTTTTCTGTCTAGTTCTTCTATCAATTGTTGAGAGATACTGTAATCTCCAATATAATTGTGGATTTGTTATTTTTCACTTCAGTATCAGTTTTTGCTTCACAAATTTTGCAGCTCTGTTTTTTGGTACATACACATTTAGAATTTCTATGTCTTCCTGGCGGATTGGCACTTTAATCATTATATAATATTCCTCTTTGTCTCTGGCTACTTTCTTTGCTCTGAAGTCTACTTTACCTGATAATGATATAGCCACTCCTGTTTTCTTTTAGCTAATGTTTTAATGATACATCTTTTTTCATTTTCGTACTTTCAAATTTTGAGCAAAGAAACCCCAAATTTCTTAACTGTAGCTTTACTTATTAGTTATTAGCATTTCAAAAATGGTTTAGGAATGGTAGATAATATTTACCTTTGTGTAACAATATTTGAGTTCGTAGGAGTATTTTACCTGGAACCAGTCTAATAAAGAAGAGATTATCTTTCACAAACATTAAGAAATGCACAGGGAACTTGAACAACTTTGACTATGTAACAACATGTACACACACCTACCAAAGTCACCCACTTATGTGAATTGGTGACCAAATATGAGAATGCATTTAAACTTTATTTATTAAGAGTATAGCTGATGTTTCTCTTTAACTGAGATCTCCATACACTGACAAATGACTTACATGGGAGAACTCTGAAAAAGATACATACAAGGTGTGATCAGTGAGGTATCTGGTACTGGAAATCGCCATTCTTAGATACAAATCCAATACTGTTTTATTGTCATCTTGTAGTAATCAGTCTTTATTTTGTTAGGTTTTCACAAAATAAAATGAGTATGCAATGAAGAGAGGTACAGCATTCCTATTTTGTCCTTGATAAAACTAACTCCTGTTACTATTCAAGGCCACAAGGCTGAGAGAGTCCCGGCTCCTTGGCATCTTTTGTCCTCTGGCAATATCTCTTTGTTCCACTGTATTTCTGCACAGCACATGCTGTTCTAGTACACTAAATCTTACAGAGGGAATTTTAGGTGTAAACAATGTGTATTTGCATATTTGAAATAGAACACTAACATGATTTGACATTGTAGCATTTTGTCGCTGGGGACATGATTAAAGCGCTTCTTTCTCGTGTTTTCTTGCTACCATTCCCCTTAAAAAAACTATTAGGTTCCTCTTCATCCAGCTGACCCTTAGACTTATTTCTTCAGGGTAAGACTATCTAACATTTGAACGGTGAGCTCACTACAATGTTGTCAGGAACCTTAAATGCACTATCTCATTTATTTCTTATATTGTTATAAGAATATTATCTCAAGATAAATGTGGGATAATATAATAATAAAAAGATGAGAAAACTGATTTCAAAGATGTTAGATAACTTGCCTGCATTCACACAGCTACTAAGTTCCAGAATCTACACTGGAATCTAGGCTTGCCTGACTCCCCAACCTACTCTCTTAGCAATACATTAATTCTATATTATGCTATCAATTCTGGAACTAGCTGTTAGTTTTAACCTTTTAGCCTTTGAAGAAAAATGGAACTTTGTGATTTGGCCACCATATAGGTACTGCTATCTGTCTCACGAACACAGCTAATGTCCCTCTAGCTCAGTTTCCAGGCATCCTGTCTTTTCTGTATCTCTTCCCTCCTCTTTCTCTCTGGTTCTAGACCCTGCCAAAAATTTTTTTCTCTTAGTGAATCCAAACATTCTGTCTCCTCCTTCTAGTTTCTTCTAAGTACCTTTCCTCTATAATTTTCCCTGACGAGATTCTAATATAGCTTTCATATGCTCCTATGAGAAATTCACACATAAATGTACATGTTAAAAGACAATTGTCATTTTGGAGGCAAGTTTTATTTATTTATTTGCATTGTTTAACTTGCTATTGATTGCTTTTCTTAAATAGTTATCAGACCTAAGATCCTTACATTTATATACTTCTGTATAATTTTAGGGTTTCTAGACCAAGACCTAAGATTTCTATCTAAGATTGAATAAAGAGTAAAGAAATATTCTGAATATTAAATGTATTTATTATTTTATATTAAATAATATAAATATAAACATAAATCTATAAAGAATTCTTTCAACTTAATGTAAATATTAAATAAGTATTTATTCAACAAGTATTTATTGAGTGTCTATATGTCAGGTACCACCCTACACACTGCCTTCTTATCCTTCCACACAAACTTTTATTAGTGAAAGCATATTTTTTTAAATTAAAAATAAGTTTTCTTAAAATGGGAAATGTTGACCAAAGGGTACAAAGTTTTGGTTATGCAGGATAAGTAAGTTCCAGAGATCTAATGTACAGCATGATGACTATAGTTAATAATACTGTGTTGTATAATTGAATTTGCTGAGAGAGTAGATCGTAAGTGTTAGCATCACACACACACAAAAGGTAGCTGTGAGGTTATGGATATGTTAATTAGCTTGATTATGGTAATCATTTCACAACAATATACATATACATATTGATATGTATATATATCTATCAAAATGTTACATTGTACACCTCAACTATATACAATTTTGTCAATTATACCTCGATAAAGCTGGAAATTTTTGAAGGTTTCTTAATACAATGATATGCAAATTCATTTTAGAAAAATAAAAAAATGCAGCCAAACAAAATACACACCAGCAACAATCACTCTCAATACTTTTGTGAATATGATTCCCAACTTTTATCTACATTTTTGAACTGTTAATTTTTTTTGTCAGTTAACACTTAATGAACATTCTTCTACATTAATGGTTGTTAAACGTTAATAATTCATTTTGTGAGTGTATAATAGTTTTAAAATCATAACTTTTAATATTGGACTCAGCCTATTGTTAGCTTTTTGCAATTACATATGAAGACTAGGATGAAAATCATTGTAGGTATGTATCTTTACATATATCCTTAGGCGTTTCCTTATAGTCTCAACAATAGCATTTCTAATGAACTGGGGGACATTTTCCCAGACCTCAATGAAAGAATTATCATTCCATTAGTTAAAAAATTTGCAGGCTATGTATTCAAAGGAGATCCCTTCTGTGTGAAATTCAACATAATCAGCCAGGTGGCTCAAACCTCAACTCTTAAATAAAAGTGTGTCCCCTTTATTCAATAAACATTTATCGAATACTGGATGTGGGGAATAAAAAAAATGAGTAAGACCCTGTGCTGGGCTGACAACAATCTACTCTAGTAGGGAGATTTGTTATCAAATAGAATGCAATGTGCTTTAATTTTGTAAGAGGTAGATTCTCAAGGCCCTTAGGTTGCATTAAAGACCACATAAGGCAGTATACAAAATAATTAGTGCTTATTATTTTTTAACACTTCTTAAGAAGAATGTACATTTTTTTTGATGTTTGAGGAAAAGACACATCTGACCACTTGTCTTTCTCATCTATTGATTATTCATGTTTCTCACATGGTAGCGTGTACGTTAGTTACCTTATTTACTTACTTTTAAATTCATAAGAAATACCATCTAGCTCTGTACTTAAGGGAAAGAGAGGGTATTTAGAAACGACTGGCCAGGCGCTGCGGCTCACGTCTGTAATCCTAGCACTCTGGGAAGCCCAGGCGGGAGGATCCTTTGAGCTCAGGAGTTCGAGACCAGCCTGAGCAAGAGTGAGACCCCCCGTTTCTACTAAAAACAGAAAGAAATTAGCTGGACAACCAAAAATACATATATAAAAAATTAGCCCGCCATGGTGGCGCATGCCTGTAGTGCCAGCTACTCGGGAGACTGAGGCAGAAAGATTGCTTGAGCCCAGGAGTTTGAGGTTGCTGTTATCTATGCTGACGCCATGGCACTCTAGCCCGGGCAACAGAGCCAGACTGTCTCCAAAAAAAAAAATAGAAACGACTTAAGTATAATAGCTAACAGGCGAAGACTTAAAAAAATTGCACTAACAGACTTTTTTTTCTTATAAAACAAAACAGACGTCACTTGAGATAACTGCAACGTTGTCAAGGCTGTGACGTCATGCCTCTAAGCCGAGGCGGCATAAGTTTTAAGACCAGCACAGATTTCCAACTTCAAGCAGGCAGAGCGACACCCAGGCAAGTTTTCAGTTAAGTGCTGCCTACCCCAGCCAGGCCAAGCAAACACAGCAAGAACACGCAGCTCCTACTAACGCGCGTAGGACTGAGCTCGCGTCATGCTAAGAAGCCGACGTACTAACTTACGTCTGAGCTTTCCCTCGAGGCCCCGCCTACTCTTCGCTGCAGACGAGCCCGCTGGAGGGGCGGAGCCTAGGGTGAGAAGAGGACAATGCGCGTGCGCGCTCTGGCCCAGCCAGCGAGCCAAGTAGTAATCTCGCGAGGGTTGAAAGTCGGTGGCGTAGGTAGTTGTCCTGAGATAGGTATCTGCCATAGGTAGAAGACGAGGCGGCGAAGGGAGTTCCCCGCCTCAGTCGCTCTTTCGCTTTCCTTTCCCCTTCCCCCAACTCTCCGCCCTCCTCTAAGTCGGCCCGCCTTCTTTGACCTCAGTGACCCGGCTGGCCCCGCCCACCTTCGTCGACGTGATTCCCGCCGTGAGGTAAGCGCTGGTCGAACCCAGACTCCAGCGGAAGACGAGGACGCCTGCGAGGGTGAGGCTGCTGGGCCCGGCTGAGGCCAGTCGCGGAGGCGCGGCGCGGGGGAGCATCGGGGTGGATCCTCTCGCTCCTCCATCAGTTCATTGCGACGTAGCCACCCAGGCCTAGGCCGCCTCCATCTCTGCTGGCCCCGGCCTCTGGCAGCAGCCGGTGACGCAGACGGAACATCATGTCGTCCGCGGCCGAGCCTCCGCCACCCCCGCCTTCCGAGAGCGCGCCTTCCAAGCCCGCAGCCTCGGCCGCCACCGGCGGGAGCAACAGCAGCAACAAAGGCGGCCCCGAGGGCGTCGCGGCCCAGGCGGCTCCGTCTGCAGCCACCGCCGGTCCCGCGGACGCCGAGATGGAGGTGAGGGGGGCTTGTGGCGCGGGGAGAGGGCGCGGTGGGGAGGGAGAGCTGATTCCCTCGGCTTGATTTTGGTAATCAGACGCAGAGCTGAACTTCACCCTGTGCACCAAACTCGGCCTTAAACGGAGGATCCGACGTGATGCTCTCACCCTTGCGCCCTTGTTCTTAATCTACTGAAGCCAACCCAAATGGATTCCTGGCACTTCACGTTTAAATTGTTTTTGTACTGAATCTTGACAAATCTTCTAATGCTTTTTACGGAACAGATCCTCTTGATTTTCTGGCCCGGGGGGACCTATCCGTTTTTTTCCCCGTAGACTCCCATAATTCCCTCTCCTATCTCTGAATGTGGGTGTAGTTTCCACCAAACTTCGGGAGAACGGCGAGGGAAGTGCCCCTTAGGAATGGGTTACACGGCGGGGTGGGGGAGGCATTTAAAAGCGGCGCATCCAAGGACTTGGGCCTTCTTTTCTTCATCCTGGTCCTGGCGGGGGCGGTATCTGTTCTGGGCAGAAACAATGGCGAGAGCTGGAGGGCCGAGTGCGCAGTGGGGATAAGCGGGGCGCAGCTGCTGCTGTGAAGGGAGCGGAGGCCCTTCGCAGGCTCAGTTCCACAGGGAGAGAAGCAACCGAGGCGGCAGCAGCTGTCTTGGATCCCCATCTAATTTGGGAGGTATGGATGGGTGAATGAATGAATTAGAGAATCAGGGACGATTGATTGGCTCTCAGTCCAGCACATTTCCTCTTTTGGGGCTTTGATCTTTTAAAAAACAGTTGGTACTGCTCACGGGCGAGACTTCTGGACTTAGGTTGGCCAGGAGATGGTGACAGTACTGTGGGGGGTGGAAAGATGGGGGAGCTGCCAGTCGGGTGTCTTGGGTATGCTCCCAGGCTTTGCAATCGATGTCTGGGAACAAAGTAATAGCTCCTTCCAGTTTTAATTCTTGGCCTTTGATCTGTTTTGAGATATTTTATAGTCGCAACCTGAAGATTTCTGGGATTTTTCCATCCTAGAATGAAAGGAATAGTGCTCTGAAAATGAACTTTGATGAAGAATTAACACAAGGAAATGGTGTCACAGTTTACAATTGAGGCATTTGGGGCAGTAGTTTTATTTGTACAACTAGGGTGAAGTAACATTATGTTATTAGTCTTTGAAAGAAATTTTAGTGGTAAGGGTAGTTTAATAGATTAGGAACTCTGATATCTCCTGTGGTTTTCAGTGATTGAGATTTGTTTTAAATTGAAATGTATTCAGGGTTACCTTTTTCCCCCCTTACGGTTTTAATTGAGTCTTTTGGATTACCGGAGCTATTTAACCTGGATTCTTGCTCCATGGCATAAGGGGATTTGAAAACCTGTGATACAAAGCAATTGTGTGTAAATGCGCAGTTCTCTACCATGAGATGTTCACAGTTTTCCTCAGCTTCTCAAAAGGTCTGCCATCCAAACTTTAAAGGGGTAATAACAAACCTCTTACCAGAGGTCATATGTAAATATTAGAAAGCGGAATAATTGAAAACCTCAACTAAATATTTTGGCTTTGAGTTGCTATTTTTAAGTTAAAATTGAATTAAAGTTTGAATATGATTATAGATGTGATAACTCCTGTATGAAATCAGTGGTATTTTCATTTGCGAGATGAGGAAATTGAGTTTTGATAAGTAGAACCTGTAATAGAACTCAGGTCTGGTTCCCAAAGTGAGCCTTTTCCCACCCATCTTGTCCTCTCATGTTCTTACAAAAAAAGATGTTTGGCAATTCCATTTATTGAAGAATGACTTAGTGAATTATTTTTACCTTCTCAGTATAGGAATATCAGTAATTTTATTCCTTTATCAGTTCTTCTTATCACTGAACAGTTTTGATTTTTTTGTTCACATTATAGTGTGAATTTTTTTGTCTTTTAAAATAAATGTACCCTCAGTCTGTTTTCTGTTCTTATAACTGAACTTAGAATCACTGCAATTCACTGATAAAAACTAAGTTTGAGCACACATGCATAGTATTATCTGACAACCTTAATCTATTTCGCAGTTGGAAAAAAGATATTTTTAATGCCCTTTTCTTGTCTGAAAACAGGATTTAAGGTGGATTTTTCCAAACCAGAAAATGAATCCAGCATTCATGAATTTTTTCCTGATGAAGCTGATTTTCCCAGTAATATTAGCTAGCCTTTCTATATATTCATCAATTTTTCTTTTTGCTTGGTACTGGTAGGTCAATGGAGTAATCCTGTTTTTATTTATGCTACCTTTTTGGCAATGTGGAACTTATCTTTGTTAATCCTTCTCTCACTATTGACTAGATGGATAAATAGGCACACTATATGCCAATAATTAATATGACCTCAAGATGCCTAGAGTCCATTTTTTTTTAACTATTGAAAAAATGATGACTGTTGAAAAGTACGTTTTATTTTTGTAGAGTATATTTGACCTTTCACAGTGTTTTGGAATTTTGTAAACCGGACAAAGGCTTGGTCACTTTTTCATGTGGAGACCAGAGATTTATGATGAGCATAAGGTTACATGGGTGCCTAAAGGTCTTAGCATTGAAGTTGGACTTGAATTTAGGTTGTTTGACCTTTCTGTAGTACCATACCAGGCCACCTTCTCCCAACTTTTTAGTCACAGATAGCTTGATTGTAGTACATATTGCTAAGCATAGATTTGTACATCATTAATGAAAATTATACTTTTACCAACTCTTATTACTGTTTTTTTAAATGGATGAAGGGAACTTTGCAGTGTAGAAGTTGTTGGTGAGTTTTGTTGTTTGTGGCATTTGAATGTCAGGATGAATACATTTGCAAGAATAGCGTATTTATTACCAGTTTAGGAATTAGACCAAAGTTAAAATACTCAATTTAGGCTGCATGATAAATTTTTTATAATCTAGAAGATGGAAATAAGGGGCACTAGTCTTGCTTTCCTTGTATATATTTGTGTAGTACCACAGTAGATATTGCAATTTTATGATAAAAAGGGAACTTTTTTTCACATTTCATACTATTTGATTTCATAGTTTTTATTACTATGAATAAGAGACAGATTTTCCCATGTGACTTGTATTGAAAATAATTTTGTTTTAAGATGATGTAGATGATAATCTTGTGTTTTAATCTTGGCAGCAGCCATACAGTGTATATATTTGGGTTAAATAGGTCGTTATCCCTATAGTATTCGATTTTATTTTATTCAAGTTTTTTGTCAGATGACAGCCATTTAAGTACCTGAGAAGTTTGGAACAGGAGTATATTATTTCGAAGGAATTGGGGGCAAAAATTGTTATATAGTGGTGTGTTTGCTGTTCTTGAACAATTCCATGATTTTTCTTTCCTACTAGGAAGTATTTGATGATGCATCACCTGGCAAGCAAAAAGAACTCCAAGAACCAGATCCGACCTATGAAGAAAAAATGGTATGTTCTGGGCATATGGATAGAGTCTGTAATGGAAACTTTTTGTTAGGTTATTAAATGTATTAAACATCTGTCTTCATCCATTTTGTGTTACTATAACAGAATACTACAGACTGGGACATTTATAAGGGCCTGGTATTTGGTGAAGGCCTTCTTGTCAATGTTATCCCACGGAGGAAGGGGAAGAGAGCAAGAGGGGGCTGAACTTGCTTTTATAACAAGCCCACTCTGGTGATAACTAACCCGCTCCTGAGATAATGACAGTAATCCGGTCATGAAAGCAGAGCCCCCATGACCTAATCACCTCATATTAGGCTCCACCTTCAAACACTGTTACATTGGGGGTTAAGTTTCCAACACATATGAACTTTGGGGGACACATTCACACCATAGCAATGTCTGTTTAATTTATACTAATTTTTAAAATTTTTATAATTAGGGCACAGATAGCCAGTTGAAATATGTGTAACATGGGACCTTCTATTAATGTCTTATTTGCCTATATACATCAACTAAAAGTATTTTATGAATTCATGTAATGTGATGTAATTATCTAATTATGTTAACACCTTTAAGATTTTAGCATGGGTAGTGAGGTGAAGACCAGAGAAATAGTTATTCAGTGTTTATTTATGCTGTATCTGTCTAGCATTGTACTCTACTGGTTACAAAGAAAAATACATGCCCTTGCTCACAGCATTCTTATATTATGGGTAGGATGTTTACAAAAAGAGAACATGACATTGTACTTGACTCCTTAAAGACCCAGCTCACATCTCAAATCTTCTAAAAAACTTTTTAAAACCATGACTTGACTTAACCAGTACCTACAAAGTGCTTTGAATTTAAATTGAGTTTTAATAATATTAATAATGGCTAACAGTGAATGCTTACTATGTATCAGGCCCTGTTCTGATACATATATCAAATTTATATGGATTAAACTCATTTAATTGTATCGAAATCTTAAAAAGTTAAAATAGTAATATGTTAATCAAATGATACCACTACACAGTATGTTCCTGCAGGGTAGGAATGGCGTCTTAATCTTTCTTGTCTTCAGCACCCAGAACAATATCTGGCACATAGTAGATATTAAATATTTTTTAAAATGTACTTTTCCTTGTACTTTGATTTTTCTCTTCGAAATCAGTAAATATTTTTGAATCTCTAATAACTTGAAAATTTTAAAGTTATAAGTAGTTTATGTACATATAATATGCATATACACATAACATAATTCGTGAATTATAAATGATAGATTTTTAGATATGATTGCTATTACATATTTTATATATGTATAACCGCCTCATCTCCTTTTTTGCCGTCAAACTTAAAGACAAAAATGTATTTGCAGCTCTACTTGTTAAAGTGAATACGGCTTTAAAGTGAATATAGTCTACTTATAATATTGCTTTAACTCTTTACAATTTAGATTCTGACACTAACATTGTACTAGTGAATCTAATTGCAAGTCCTGTGGCTTAATTTTAGCTTCATTGGCCTTGATTTCACTTGTGCTTGATGTTGTTGACCACCCTTAAAATCTTTACTTACCTTGAAAGACCTTTTTTTCTTAATGGTATACTATTGATTGTTCCTTTGTCCTTTTCTTGTTAAATTCTGAGTATTTCTTCTTAGACAATTTGATTCTTACTGATTTTACCTGCCATCTTTAAACTGAATACTTTCAAATATTTATCTCTAGCCCAGATACCTGCAATCAATATTATCATTTGCTTGTTGGACATTTACTTTAAATCCCACTGGTACATCTTACTTGGGAATATCTAGAACTTGGATTCATAATCTTTACTCCACATATCTACTTAGTGTTATCTCAACAAATGAAAGTTCCTATTAATATATTACCAAGATGTCTATCACAGTACCTCATACTTTTTAATTGCAAATTTACTCTCAAATTTTCTCCTTTCCCTATCACCCGGGTTCAGTATTCCTTATTATTGCATGGATTATTTTGTGGGCTTCTTCATTTGTCTCTTATGATCTGGTCTCTTCCAGATTCCTTTACACTTTTGCAATATATGATTTACGACACAAATCTGACTGTTTTCAGTGGTTCTTTACAATGCTTTTCATTTTCATAGTGGCTTTTATTGGAGCTCTTCTCATTTCTCCCAAGTTTTTCAGTCTCCCAGCTTCATTTCCTTTTTCGACATGATCTTCACTTGAACAGTTTTCTTCTAAGCAAGCTCCCTTGTCATCTGCTAGTTCCTAACCATAGGTAAGTCTCGCTGTCCACTCTTCATTCTTGAATCCAGGATGTTGAGTACTACTTCAGAAAACTAAAGAATACTGCTGATTGATTTTTGCTATCTTGGGCTTTCAGTATTTATTGCTCAGTAAATCCCATGTAGCCATTCTAAAACCGGACTGCTCAATCTTTCTACTCCATTTCTACCACACCCTCATTTTTAGTCTTCCTCCTCAGAGTTGCAGGCCTATCTTCAATTTATTTCCTTTCTATTTCCAAACGTGTATATGACTTCTACTGTTGTATGTCATTTCCTCCTGTCTTGGAGAAAGAAGCTAGTCCAAGGCTATTTATTTTAATCTCCATTTGATTTTATGATTTATTTCTTTGAGGTTCCTGATCTTAACTCTATTTTTGCTTTTTAAGATTTGTTAGTTTTTCTCTTGTCACCACTTTAGTCTCTTTAAGATCTCAGGTCATTTTCATTTTAACCTTCTCAATCTTTGCAACTTATCTTGATTCTAAACATAATTACAGTAATTGAGTAATCTTTTTTTACCCCTAACATCTTCTAGTTGAATGTTTTTGGCTTTTTAAAAATTATATATAAATTAAGAAATGTAATTGTATAAAATATGCACACACATTTGTATCTCGGTTCAGTATTTTGAAACAGTTTGTAATCTTGGAAACATGAACAACAGAGGCTCATCAGCTGTAGGATATTACCAGGGAGAAGCATGTTGACAACTTGTTGTTATTGTGCAGATTGAGCTGCTTCTGACTGTCATTTGTCACTCAATGAGATAACTATCACCATGTACCTTCCTGATAACAAACTGAGCCTCAGTTTTCACAGTGGTGTGATTTTAAAAAAATGGTTGTTGGCTGCGCGCGATGGCTCACGCCTGTAATCCTAGCACTCTGGGAGGCCGAGGCGGGCAGATTGTTTGAGTTCAGCAGTTCGAAACCAGCCTGAGCAAGAGCGAGACCCCGTCTCTACTAAAAATGGAAAGAAATTAATCGGACAACTAAAAATACATAGAAAAAATTAGCTGGGCATGGTGGCGCATGCCTGTAGTCCCAGCTACTCGGGAGGCTGAGGCAGAAGGATTGCTTGAGCCCAGGAGTTTGAGGTTGCTGTGAGCTAGGCTGAAGCCATGGCACTCACTCTAGCCAGGGCAACAAAGTGAGACTCTGTCTCAAAAAAAAAAAAAAAAAAAAAAAAAAAAAAATGGTTGTTTTTCTCTAAAAAAAATACATAGTTTTTACAGCATTATGGTATTTGGATACTCCTGGTGTTTGCTTTGCTGGGTAAAATATCTTTGTAATTCATTCTAAAACTAACATTTTAAACGTTTATAGACAAGAGTTAAGTAATTGGTTTCTTTGTTTATTGAACTTACCTTGGTTCTCTGTTTAACCAAACTATCATTGTGTCTGTAAAAAGCTGTTGCCTAAAGGCTCTAGAATTTACTTACTTTTATGAAAACTTGTTTTTAAGGAGCTTAAATTTTTTTTGTTCAAATAAATTCTTCCATTTTCTTGATGTGGATCATAGGGAACATTCAAAGGGGCAGATGGCAGATATGAAAGGAAGGAATAGTATTAAGAATTGCTTTGGGGTAATAAAATTTTATGAACTTAATGTTTTTCAAGCTTGATACCTTTTAAAATTTATCACAGCCTAACTGGTGAATGACCAGTATATTTTCTCTACTTTTGAATAAATGTACTTGTATTACACAATGTCTTTTCATGTTTTTAAAAATTGTTTTGATAACTATATTGAAGTATAATTTATATAAAATAATTTTTAAGTTTGTAATTCAATGAGTTTTGGTAAATATATGCAGTCATTTACACAGCACCACAATCATGATATAGAATAGTTCCATCATCCCAAAAACGTTTGCTTCTGCCCTTTTGTAGTCAATTCTTGCTCCCACCTCCTTGCAACTTCTGATCTGCTTTCTGTCACTAATTGGCATTTTATGTAAATGGAATAATACAGTATATAGTCTTTGGTGTTTGATCTCCTTCACTTGGCATGGTGCTTTTGAGAATTACCCATCTTTTTGCACGTATCAATAGTTTGTTTCTTTTTATCGTTAAGTTTATTGTATGGAGGCATGTTGAAACTTTGATTGCTGAAGTTTTAATTAATGTTCTGATAAAATGTGTCTTAAAATTTTTTGCAGCAAACTGACCGAGCAAATAGATTCGAGTATTTATTAAAGCAGACAGAACTGTTTGCGCATTTCATTCAGCCTGCTGCTCAGAAGACTCCAACTTCACCTTTGAAAATGAAACCAGGGCGCCCACGAATAAAAAAGGATGAGAAACAGAACTTGCTATCAGTTGGAGAGTGAGTAATAGTTTAAATTTCATAGTTGAACCAGACTTTTTTTTTTGAGACAGGGTCTTGCTCTATTTGCCCAGACTGGAGTGCAGTGGTATGATCATAGTTCGCTGTAATCTTATTACTCCTGAGTTCAAGCAATCCTTCTGCCTCAGCTTCATAAGTAGCTAGTACTACAGGTGCACACCACCTTACCTGCCTAATTTTTAAAAATATTTTTTGTAGAGATGAGTTCTTGCTGTGTTGCCCAGGCTGGTTTCGAATTCCCAGCCTTAAAGCAATCTTCCCATCTTTGCCTCCCGAAGTGCAGGGATTACAGGTGTAAGCTATCTCGCCCAGGCTGAACCAAACTTGTTTTTGATAGTCTTCATTAGAAGTATAGGGTCATTTCATTTAAAAATATTTATTTTAGTGCTGTTATTTATTTGGCTCTGATTGGCTTGGTGTGCTGTGGCCATAAGTGTATAAAATATGCATAATGCCTTATTTTTATACCATACAGTTTATGGATTGCAACAACCATATTGAGTATGGAATTTAGATGTTATGCCATTCCTTAGAGAGGAGACAAATGGAGAAGTGAAATGGCTTGTTGAACATCACATAGGCGTAGTTAGAATGATCCAGACTTGAGTGGATCTGACTTAGGTGTGCTCTGGGCAGGTACACTGCATACATGTATTGAGAGTATATTATCTGAAGTCTGTGCTGGTATGTGGAATGTTGTGATGACTTATGTCACAGCAGCTTGTTTAAAATTTTTGTTACATACTTGTCTTTATATAAATTGAAGTGTCGAGTTGTATGCCATCCTTGGATGGTTGTTGAAAATAGTTCATACGTGTTGAATTAATAAATTCTTTAGAATTTCTGTGCTGCTTAAACTAAGATATTTAATTAGTAATAATTAATAGATTTAGAGCAGTCTTAGCTCCCTGAAATGGCTTTTGTGTAATTTCCAAAGTGAAAAATGTTGTCAGTAATTAAAATACACAAAGTCGTCTAAAAGAAAAGATTATAAATGTTATCAACAATGTTAAATTCATTAAGTAGTTCATTGAAACGGAGAGATATTATCTTCATTTTAAATGGATTACCATTAAGCATGATACCTTACTTTTATTTGGGGTGTTTCACTTATTTAGTGTATCTTATTATACGTAACCAAAGCATTATTTTAATACTTACGAAACTTTATAAGGGATAACTTTGCACTTTAGATGTATTTAAGAAGTTTGCAGCTAGTTAAATATCATCAATATCATGTACTTGAAATGGAAACTACTGTAATGGATATTGTTATGGGATAGCTATATTACGAAAATGAAACAGTTCTATTATTCTGTTATTATCCTATATGGTAAATATATTCTGTAGGAAATAAGTAATAAATTATTCAGCTTGATCTACTAATTAAATGTTATTGACGAAAAGGAATCTTAGTTAACAGATTTCTGTATTCTTCAAGCCCTCTTAAATGAAAAGTTAATTTACATAAAGTAATTAGGATGATAGTACTGTCTTTGAATATCAGAACACACATGCATTTTTTTATATTCAGTGATGTCTCAGTTTTAAGCAGTAAAGCACATCTCAGCTTTTATGTTAAGTTTTATAACCATTTATAACCATTTATCAACCATTTTGAAAATGTATTGTGAAGGAAATTTTTAAAAAATAGTGTTAAAATTTCTCTCTCAGTTTATGAAGGATAAATTGGGGTGGGGGTAGATTTTTGTACTCAATTTCATAGAATAAGAATGCAGAGAAGTACAAGAAATAACAGACTAAGACGGTCTGATTAGGAGCCTATATAAGAAGCAAAAAGGCCCTTGACTATTTATTGCCTTCGCTTAAATTCCTGAGGAATGCTTCCTATCTTTATGTTGAAAGACTGATTATCTTTTACCAGGCTTGTAGTTTTGGTAGAAATTAGGTTATAGATTAGATTCAGATGTCTCACCCAATAGGGGCATAATCTGCTGCTTTCTAAATTAGATACAGATATGTGTTGGAAGTATAAAGTTGGACAGCTCAGAACTGGGAAGTTGGTAGTTTTACTAACCTGAGCTCTTTAGAGATTGAGAAATCTGACATTATTAAAACTTGAGAAAATCAGTTTTAAGGGGATGTATCTGACTCTTTTAGGATGTAGATTCTAGTCATGTGTATTTAAAAAGCTTTTTGAGTAAAAAAAGCTTTTTGGGTAAAAACAGAAACACTTGTGTTAACAAGTGTTTTCTGGTAAAGTCCTGGTTGAGTCACTGCTTAAGCTCCTAAGTCCTTATGCCATAGCTTTTGGTCAAAGTGGTAGTTTTAAAAATGTGGTTTCTGGAACTTAACTTTTTTTTCCCCTTGGCAAAAAGACTTAAAAAGGTGTGTACCTTGAAATAAAAATAATGAGATTTTCTGATTGCATATTTCCTTGAAATTAGATTATCACATTTGAGTTTATCAGGTTTTGGTTAATCTGCAGAATTACTGTATTTTAATAACAATTTAATGTATATTTTAGATAACCCTGTGAAACATTTCAGATTTAAACTTACTAATAATTCCTGTTGTTCACTTTTTAGTCTTAATGTAGATGCCTGTTAAAAAAAATTATTTTTGTGGGATTGGTAAGCCATTTGATTATGTTGAAATAGTAGCTGATAGTTAAAATTAAAGCCAAAATTCAAATCATTTGATTTTATTTTCAACTTGACAGCTATCGACACCGTAGAACAGAGCAAGAGGAGGATGAAGAACTACTAACAGAAAGTTCCAAAGCAACCAATGTTTGCACTCGTTTTGAAGACTCTCCATCATGTACGTTAAACACACTTAATTACATGATTTTAAAAAAATCCTTCTTTGAGACATCCTTTGGTTAATGTTTTGGATTTGTCTTGGCTGTTATTTATAAAGGGAAGTTTTAGTAATCTTAGATATTTGGTTGTGAAATAAGCTTTAGATTTCGATGGAGATGATAGCATGTTATATGATAGTAGTGCTGTATTTTCAAAGGTGTATAAGATACCATTGTGTTTATTATTGGCCTACGGTATATATAAAACCAGGAATGGTTTTGCCTTATATTTGTACTAGATAAGAAAACTAATTTGTTTTTAAAAGAAGGTACTTAATGAAGACTTTTGCTTACTCATCTCCTGATGTTTTTATATTAATTTGTTTTAATTTTTAATGAAATATATTTGTTATTAATGGATTTCCTTCCCTTTGTCTTTATTGAAGCCTAACAATTTTTCTTTCAACCTCCATCTTTGTCACTTCACTGGTTTATGTCATCACAACATAGCGGTTGTATGTAAAAATTTATATAGGACATGATATTTGGGTTTTTTTTTTAATTACTATAGCCTCGAACTTCAGCCAGACAGATAACTAGTTAGAAATTCAGCAATCTGCTTAAGGTCTATACCTTCAGATTTTTTTTGGCTACAGAGTACCCAGTCTCCATTTCTTTTCCTAGAGGCTAGAGCTAAGATGTGAGGCACAAGGGGGAAAGGAAATTTGGATTAATTTGGGTATTTCTTTCTCACATTTCTACATTGTAACTAGTTTCCCCAGCATTGGTTAGCTTTTCATACTTAAGTAGTATTTTTCAAAAAGGGACAGGGTACAGAATATACATATTTTAAAAAATCAAGTGATTGTGTTGTGTATATTTGATAATCCTTGGGAGGGACAAAATAAGTCATATACCTTGACAGGATGTGGTCTTTCTATGTAAGATTTTGAAAAAGTAACTTAGGAAAAATATTTCCTATTTTCCCTTTTTTACTAGGAGGAAAATAAAATCCCCACAAAACCTCTCTATTTGATCTTCACAAAAACTGAAAACAGTTAGAAACACTTGTGTTAACATTAAGAAGAGAAGTAAAGGGACCAGAGAATCTCAAGGACCAGTAGATGGGTAACATAAGAACTGAGTGATTGGGGTGGGTACTCTGAGCTTGCAGTCATGTTTCCTGCCTGCACTTGGTTGTCTTCCATATCTATCTGCTCCCACTCCACTCCAGACCACAGCAGCTACCTCTAGTGTTTTGGAATTTGCAGAATTACCATTATATAGGAATCTCCTAGTCAAGAAAGTGAAGTCAGTAGACATGTATAAGCCCAAGTTAAACATCTGAGTATCAGATAAAGGGGACTGACTTGTATTTCTTGTTTGAAAATGTACGTTGTTTGTTCTTTTGTTCTTAGATGTAAAATGGGGTAAACTGAGAGATTATCAGGTCCGAGGATTAAATTGGCTCATTTCTTTATATGAGAATGGCATCAACGGTATCCTTGCAGATGAAATGGTACGTGTTTGGTAGTTTTCTTGAAGGCCATATTTTGTAATTTAAAATATTTTATACATTACAGTGATAAAAGTTAAGATGCTATAACATAGTTTTGTTTCTTACAGTCTGGAACTATTAGCAAACTAATCGTTTCTCAAATTGTTATAAGTAGCTTGGTTTAGTTGCATAAGTGGAATCTATACTTCAATTGTGAGGAATTACCATCTATGAAAATACAGTAAATTTAAAAATAATACATTTTGGGAAGCAAGCATGCTATTGGTTGACTTTCATAGTACAATGATTTGACCATTTCCTTCTACTTCTATAAAATACGAGTGAGATCATTGGATGTTTATCACCATTAAATATTAAATTTTTTCCAGGGTGGCAGCTTGTACAGTTCTGTTTCATAAGGCGTTTTATCTCATTTACTACTTACTAGTTGTGTAATGGATATTTTAAAAAAGTTTCCTTATCGTTATAGTGGTGAAACACTTAATTGGTTGGGGAAAGTAGGAAGCCAAAAGAAATGTGTTTGAATTCTGTCTCTGCCAGGTGACCCTAGGAAAGTCACTTAAACTGTCTAGGCTTTTTGAGGGTGATAATAGTACCCTCCTCATAGACTTGTGAAGATGACATGATACAACACTTGTAAACCTTGACACACATTAAGTTGTTGCTGTATGTTAGTTATTTTATACACATAGCATTTCTTTTAAATGTTCCTGTATGTCTTGTGAGGGATTAATATGGAAGACTGCTTATCTTTTTCATTGCTTTGTGCTTGTTCTGAAATCTTGCAGGGCCTGGGAAAGACTCTTCAAACAATTTCTCTTCTTGGATACATGAAACACTATAGAAACATTCCTGGTCCTCATATGGTTTTGGTCCCTAAGTCTACATTACACAACTGGATGAGTGAATTCAAGAGATGGGTACCAACACTTAGATCTGTTTGTTTGATAGGAGATAAAGAACAAAGAGTAAGTTTCTAGTATTTTATTATATTTTTGAAATTAAATAGAATTTAGGCTTGGAGTAGGGGGTTAGTTGGAGGAAGGATAAAAGAGAAGGGGTCTACACAAGTATTAGTAACTTACAAATGTGATATTGTCTTGGTGGTTAAGATCATACTGGGGAGAAGGCGTTAGAGACTGTAGAAAGCTGGAAGAATATGGTTTGTTTCTCCCCATTTTGGGAATGGTTGTATAAAATCAAAGCCTGTGCTTTCAATGTAGAAGTACTTTCTCCTTTTTAAAAGAAGTTTTGAACGTGTGGAGTGTTTGGAAAATGTGTATAGTGGTAGTAGTCATAGAATTGTAGTTTTTAAAGGTGGATTGAGTCCATTATAGTTACTTGGTGAGTTGTTAGTGATATTTAACAAAATAAGTTGGTCGACAATAGCCTTTTGGGAAGAAGACATGGAAATAATATTATTAAGCACATAAAACTCAGATTTGGAAATTTATTCAGACTGTGTTGAATGACTATGCACTTATTTTGTTTTTCCTTTGTTTAGCTGTCAATAATGAGTCTAGATTTTTTTTCTCTTCTTTTATGTTTTGGGTATTTTAAGTTACCAGATTGCTTTTTATGTGTTGGGGCCTGATTACTTAACCACTCTTTGCTTCAGTTTCCTTACCTGTAAAATGAGACTAATAATAGCAATGTGTTAATACATTTATAAACTTGAATGAAAATGCAAACTATCCTTCAGCTGTCATCCTTTGTTAAAAGAGCTGTCTTTGCTAAAAAATCCCCTCTCCTTTGCTTAAAACTATCTCCTAAGACTTTCAAGACTTAGTAGAATTGTAGAGAGATGATTTTAGAGTGTCTGTTGAATTTTTGCACTGATTAACTTTGTCAGTTTTAAAAATTTAATGGCTTTGATAGTGAAATGATTAATGAAGTTACTTCAGTGGTAGGAAAGCTAGTTCTAAATGCTTGCATAATATAGCTACTCTACACCTTTTTAATAATTCCAACCCCCTTTTGACAGATACTAGTCATCAATACATTTATATAGTTTATTTCCATATGATGTAATATAGAAATGTATAGTTTATTTCTGCATGATGTGATTTTTTTCTCTTGCTACACAGGCTGCTTTTGTCAGAGACGTTTTATTACCAGGAGAATGGGATGTATGTGTAACATCTTATGAAATGCTTATTAAAGAGAAGTCTGTGTTCAAAAAATTTAATTGGAGATACTTAGTAATAGATGAAGCTCACAGGATCAAAAACGAAAAATCTAAGGTATTTTGATATATAGGCGTAAAAGTCATTTGTGCCTTTATTTAAGAATTTGATCAATATGTAAAATATCCTAATGATGAATTTGGTTCTTTTCTTTCAGTTGTCAGAAATAGTGAGGGAATTTAAGACTACAAATCGACTTTTATTAACTGGAACGCCTCTTCAGAACAACTTGCATGAGCTCTGGTCACTTCTTAATTTTTTGTTGCCAGATGTATTTAATTCAGCTGATGTAAGTATATTTCTAATTGCTTTCTGGCTAGTATTTTGTTTAATGTATTATTTTTAATAGAAGTGGCCTCTATTTCAGCATTGCTTGAAATAATCATTAATTTTTCATGGTTTTATGTAGTTAGCCTGGCGTAACCTACTAAGTTGTCTCTGTGTTACGGGAATTTACTTTTGTGCCTGTTGGTTTCAGTCCCATCTTAAATCATGGTTTTCTTTCTCTGGAATGGCATAGATTGTCACTCCTATTTGGTAGTCATATTGGCCTGTTTCGGTGGCTCTAGGTTGATTGCTTATGTTTTCAAGGTACTGCTCAAGTTATTCCCAAAGTGCCTCATGTTCATTGCCCGTGTGTCTCACATTCACTGCCCGTGGTTTAAGTCCCAAAAATGACCATCAAATTTGGTGAAATCTGTCTAGCTATTCTTATGGTATGATCTAACAAACAAATAGAATCTAATCTTTACCTTTGTGGATTATTTGCAGTGATGGAAATGGTAGTAATAGTAAATTAGCTAGTTGAATTAATAGTTGTCCCTAGGAACATAAAATATATATCAAGAGCCTGTGCTATTAGTAATTACAGCTTTTTGCTGGATCAGAGTTTATTTTTGAACCTTGATATGCACAGCTGGAGACAGTGTGTGTGTGTTGGGGGGCTCTTTGAAGAGCTCCACATTAGTACATCTATACAAATAAGTTCTAAAAAGGTACAGATTTTGGTTTATTGTGTTAAGGATCATTTTAAAAGAATAGAGAAATTTGTGTTGTAAAGATATTTAATAAAAATCCAAACACAATTTTACATCTGCTATTTATACATTTTTATGTTTTTGAGGTAATTTTGCTTACCACATTGACACTTTTGTTTAATCCACATAAAGCTTTGCTTTAGTTAATACAATGAATTCTAAGATTATATTTACTCAAAAACAAATATAGTACATACATATGTTCAAGAGGTAAGAATAGGGAAACTGTCCTTGTTCAAATTCTACCCAGATAGCAATGAAATGCTAGTAATCTCAATTTCACTTTTAGTAAGTTTGATTAAAATTTACATTGCTCTGGAAATCTTGAATTTGAATAGTCTGAATGATCTTAGAGAACAAACTATAAAGTGATTTTCTTTTAATTTTTAAGCTTTTATGAAACTAAATATTTTTCAAGAATGTTAATTTTCTAATGTTTTTATAAAACTTGCGTTCCAACTTTTCACTGTGAAACTTGTCATCTTGATGTGTTTGAGAAAAAATGTTTAGAAAGTAATACTACTAAACTACTTGTTCTAAAATTAAGTGATACAGTGACATGCCTATGAAAATAGGGCTGTGGACTAAAAAATTTTTATGGATTACAACTCAAATATTATACTAATTCTAGAAATCATTTTTATATCTGGCATTTTAGGGCATTTGTTGTTAATATTATCTCTGATTTGAGCATATATTTTGTTTGCTAATTTAGGACTTTGATTCCTGGTTTGATACAAACAACTGCCTTGGGGATCAAAAGCTAGTTGAGAGGCTTCACATGGTAAGTATTTTAGAGTAGTGTTAAACCATATTCCTAATGGGAGAAAGGACAGAGATTTAAAGATTATTTTCCTTTTCACAAAAAGCATAATGGCTGTAGAATCAGATGTTTGAATTCTGCCACTTAACCATTTAATGGGAGTAGGGGATGATGTATGGTGATTTTAGCATTAGAACCTAGAATGAAATTCCTAACTTAACGAAGGGAAAAAGTGGTCTCTTAGATTTAAAAGAAGTGCAGTGGGGGAAAGAAAAATTGCATAATGACTAATATGGACAAGTTTTCAAAGCTTAGTTCCATTTACATTTCATTGAAGAATCTAACAGGTTTACTTCTGAAAGGGCTAAAGATCTATCTATTTGAAAATCTGGTGACAGTATGTATAAGCAACTGGTAATATTACGTTGTGAGCAGAGTTGATACGTTATTGCTTTGATGTCTGGCTTTGTTACTAATGTATAGCTTCCTAGGAAAGTTCTTAAGTGAAAGTTTGTAGGTAGGGAAATTTCTCTAATAGATCCCAGATTAGGATACCCTGGTCAGCAGGATAAAGCAGGGCCTTGTAAGAATGTCCTTTAAGGCCTTTAATGACCTAACCCAGGCATTCTCAACCTTGATTGTTGACATTTTGGTCTGGATAAATCTTTGGGGTGTGGAGGGTAGGGAGAGAGGGAAGGAGGTAGATGGTCGTCCTTTGTATTATAGTATGTTTAACAGCATCCCTGACACCACTTCTTACTACATGCCAGTAGTAACATATCTCCAGTTGTGATAACTAAAAATGTTCCCAGACATTGCATTTGTACCCTGGGGGGCAAAATGGCACCTCCTCCTTGACCTAACCTAACACTTTCTAGCTTCTGTTTCACTTCTTTGTATATTGAGCTTAAGTTTGATAGTATTGTTGACCCCACTGTAAACATTGTGCTAATTCCAATCTTTTGTTTGTTTGTTTGTTTTTATTTTTGTGATGGGGGTCTCACTCTGTCTCCTGGGCTGGAGTGCAGTGGCACAATCATAGCTCACTGCAACCTCAAACTTCTGGGCTCAAGCGATACTCCTGCCTCAGTTTCCCAAGTAGCTAAGACTGCAGGTGTGCGCCACCACACATGGCTGATTTTATTTTATTTTTTAGAGACTAGGTCTAATTATGTTGCCCAGGCTGGCTGGTCTTAAACTCCTGGTCTCAAGTGATCCTCTCACCTCAGCCTCCCAGAGTGTTGTGATTACAGGTGTGAAACTGCCCTGCTTCCAGTCTGTTTTGTTTATTGTTTTTGCTATATCTAGAATCCCCTTTCCTGACCTTTTTACTAATATCTAGCCCAAGTCTTGGTGATATCACCTTCTCCACTGAACACCCAGGCTGAGGCTGGTTCTTTTCTGTATATTCTGTCTTTAATAATCTGAGCATTCTAACACAAGACTTTGCACTGCTGGATTGTAAACATGAAAGCAGGAAATGTTCGTATATTTGTCTTTGTATACCTAGCGCAATGCCTGGCTATGGTGAATATTTGAACAGGAGAAACAAATTTAAGTTTGTGAATGTTCAAGTATTTCTACATAAATTAATTACAAGGTGCTTTATATTGTTATGTACTGAGATTTTTGTTAAATATTTGAAGGTGATAATCTCCTAGGTACCTTTATTTCAATTTAGGTGGCATTCAAGCATCTAAGTACTCTATATTTACTTATTCGAAGGATCGTGGAATTTATATGTAATCTTGGGGGTGGAAAAGGAGGCAGAGGAACTTGATTTTCCTTCCTGCATATTTTTTCTTACCCTTCTGTTCTTGACTTTCCTTTAATAAATGCATAAGCACATGTAGGTAAAGCAAACTAAAACAACTCACACAGCAGAATCAACCAGTTTTGGCAGCTCTGTTTATTTTGTTCAGAGGGTATTTTGAAAATGTTTATCAAGTCAGGGAGAAGAGGTCTGGTTGCTGCCTCTCTACTTTTTTTTTTTTTTTTTTTTTAGACAGAGTCTCACTCTTTTGCCCGGGCTAGAGTGAGTGCCGTGGCGTCAGCCTAGCTCACAGCAACCTCAAACTCCTGGGCTCAAAGTAATCCTTCTGCCTCAGCCTCCCGAGTAGCTGGGACTACAGGCATGCGCCACCATGCCCGGCTAATATTTTCTATATATTTTTTAGTTGTCCAATTAATTTCTTTGTATTTTCTTAGCAGAGACGGAGTCTCACTCTTGCTCAGGCTGGTTTCGAACTCCTGAGCTCAAACAATCCGCCCACCTCGGCCTCCCAGAGTGCTAGGATTACAGGTGTGAGCCACCACGCCCAGCCTGCCTCTCTACTTTTTATCCTGCTCTATACTCTGAAATTTCCACTGTAGCATCTGTGGTCCTATATTGAAAAGGAGATTTAGAAGTGAGTTTGGGTATGCTTAGGAATGAGATAACTCTTACTCAATGTATCAGTTATATAATGCTTAAAAAAAAAAAAAAAAGAAAAAACCTTATTCCCCCCAGAAAATACCTTAATAGTTTATTAACAACCCCCAAGTTTATGGGTTGGCTTGGTGGTTTCTTTGCTGGTTTCACCTGTGTTTATCCAGCTGCATTTAGCTGGACAATTCTAGAAGAGAACCAGTGGGACTAAAAGTTTTCACTCACATGTCTGGCAGTTGCTTCTGGCGATTGACTAGGACTAAACTTGCTTCCCTAAATGGCGATAGTAGAGAAGTGTTGCTGATTAATTTTTTCATTAATTTTTAAGTTTGTGATATAGTCAGTATTTTTATAAGCCAGTGTAAATAGGACAAAGGAAGGTACAAAAAAGGCTATCCTTAGTTTCATAGGTATTTTAAAACTTAGTATTTTATGAAAATGAATGAACTATATTCAATACAAATATACCTCACAAATATCATGTTTAGTAAAATAAATCAGATATAAGTGGGCATATATTGAATAAGTCTGTGTATGTAAAGTTAAAAATGATATCTGGTATCTAAAAGTAAGAATATTGCCTAACTTTTGGGAGGAAAGGGGAGATAGTGACTGGGAAGGGCACAAAAAGGATCGAGGGTATTCTTTTTATCTAGGTGATGAAGACCTGGGCATTTTTACTGTATTTGTTGAAAATTTATTGAACTGTACATTCATGTAAACTATATACTTTATGTATAGTTCACTTCCATAAATGAAGATAGTAAATTTAAAACTAACCATAAAGCGATCTTAATGTGGATCTTAAGCAATGTTAGACAATCTGTATACAAGTAACTAGTTTTAAACTTGAAAGGTAGTATGAGTTGTTGAAAACATCATGTCATCATCTTTAAAATTTATAATTGGTTTTAGTATGAGAGTATAACAAATATATACTCTTTATATATATATACAGGCACACGTTGTTTCTTTATTGCACTTTGTGGATATTGCCTTTTTTAAAAAATTTTTGACAAATTGAAGGTTTTTGGCAACCCTGTGTCAAGGAAGTGTATCAGCACCATTTTTCCAACAACATGTTCTCATTTTGTTAGCAGTAGAGTATTTTTAAATTAAGATGTGCACATTTTTTTTTAGACATGATGCTATTGCACACTTAATAAATAGTATAAACATAGCCTTTATATGCACTGGGGAACAAAAAAAATTTATGCAGCTTGCTTTATTGCAGTAGTCTAGAACTGAACCCATGGTATCTCCAAGGTATTCCTGTATTGAATAAATGATGATCTTGTATTATTATTCTTCAGGAACCCAGTAGTAATAAGTTATATGCAGTCAGCTCTTTGTATTTGTGGGTTCTACATCTACAGTTTCAACCAACTGTGGATTGAAAATATTCGTGTAAAAAATATATAAAATGGGTCGTCGTGTCAGTACTAAACATATACAGACTTTTTTCTTGTTGTTATTCCTCCTAAACAGTATAGTATAGCAACTGTTTACATATCATCTACGTTAAGTCATTGTTTTTTTTTTTGGTTTTTTTTTAAGAGATGGGATCTCACTGTCTCACCGAGGCTGGAGTGTAGTAGCTCACTACAGCCTCAAACTCCTTGGTTTAAGCAGTCCTCCTGCCTCAGCTTCCAGAGTAGCTCGGATTACAAGCCTGCACCACCACGCCCGACTATAGCATTTTTCTGTTTTTTGTAGAGGCAGGGTCTTGCTATGTTGCCCAGGCTGGTTTTGAACTCCTGGCCTCAAGCGATTCTCCTGCCTTAGCCTCCCAAAGTGCTGGGATTACAGACATCAGCCACTGTGCCCGACCTATATTAAGTATTATGTATAAGTAATCTAGAGATGATTTAAAGTATATGGGAGGGGATATGTGTAGGTTCTATGCAAATATACCATTTTATATAAGGTACTTGCATATTTATGGATTTTGGTATTGGGGAGCTGGAACCAATCCAGTAAGGGATGACTGTATTTGAAGGAAGAAGTCCTAAAAATCATTGATATTCAAGCAGAGAAATTTCTTTTCCATGTATTTAAGTGACAGCCTTAAGATTCTGAAATAATACCAATGTTACAGATAAGGCCGTATCTCTTTATTTTTGCTCTAAGGTTTTGCGTCCATTCCTCCTTCGTCGAATTAAGGCTGATGTTGAAAAGAGTTTGCCTCCAAAGAAGGAAGTAAAAATCTATGTGGGTCTCAGCAAAATGCAAAGGGAATGGTATGTGTTCTAAGATGTGTTTGTTATTACTGTTGATTCTTCCCTAAGTCCATTTGTATTTCATTTTTCTAATTTGTATCTTCATGGAATTTGTTTACTGGATTGAACTCAGCCTGAAAAGAGTTTTCTTGACATGTAATGTAGTGCTTACTATTTATGATACAATATCTTGACCCTATTAGATGACAGACTCTGGATGGAAGGTTTATGAATCCAAAAATTATATGAGATTTCATTAAACAGGGATACTTTCAAAACCCTTTCCTTGGGTTTTTTTAAAAACGGGAACTGATGGCACAGTGGAGGAGACATCAGCAGTCCCCAGTCTTTTTGACACCAATGATGGGTTTCGTGGAAGACAGTTTTTCCACGGATGGGGGTGGGAGGAGGGTGGGGGGTTTGTCACCACCTCAGCTCCACCTCAAATCTCAGGTGTTGGATTCTCACGCGGAGCATGCGACCTGGATCCCTTGCATGTGCAATTTGCAGTGGGGTTCGTGCTACTATGAGGGTCTGATGCCACCGCAGATCTCATGTGGGTGGGGCTCAGGCGCAATGAGATGGGGAGCAGCTGTGAGTGCAGGTGGGGCTTCCCTTACTTACCTCCTGCTGTGCGGCGCTTGGATTGGGGACTGCAGTATTATATATACTTAATAGTTCATAAATACGGGGTCATGTATTAGTGCTAGTGGCTGGTGAACTTGTAGATTGTAGAGCTGTGAGAAAACTTAAGTCCTTTTTTTGTGAACCTCCCATAAAGCTATATTTATTTAGCTTAAAAGATTCTCCACTCTGAGTTGATGTTTTATTTTAGGCAAAATAAAATGTCTTTTTGTGAAATGATGGTGATAATACATGGTAGAAATTTTTAAACACTCTCATAGGGCAAAATGAAAAAGTTGAAAACCCTGCTTTTTTAAAAAATCTTTTTCTTTATTTTAAAAATATGCAATTGAAAAGGTCAGAAACCACTGACTTAGGATTCATTTTTGTAGATAGAAAGCTCAATGTGAATTAACAATGTAAAGTGGCCGCAGAAAAAGATACTGTTAACTTTAATGTTAATATAAGTTTAGTGTTCGAAGGAGGGAAATAAACAGAGCTACCCTATTCTTTACTGATCTCACCATGTTTCAAGTATATTCAGTTGCATACTTAATTCTGATAAGTATTTGCAAGAGGCCAGAGTTTTTTGTAAAAGGACTGGAAGGATGTCATATAGAGAACTGGGCGTGTTATCTGGAAAGGGCTCCACTGTAGAAGGTGGGCCAATCTTAAATGTCGTCAAGACTTTTGAAAGGCCATTATAGGGTGGCAAAGATAATAGGCTTATCTTGTATGGCTCTGAAATGCAGAGCTAAGACGTGAGTCAATGCTAAGGGAAGACAAATCTTTTTTAGTTAACAGGTGGATAAACTTTGTATCGGTCAGAATTGTGGGGGAACAGTTTTCCTTGAATGTTATTTTGTGCTCAACGATTGGAAACTAAACATAGATTGCTTAGGCTATTTAAGTTATTATGTTCAGAGGATTCAAGGTCTTGAAACTTTGGTGTTTAGACAGATTACTCATTCCTTCAGGATAATGTCTCTAAATTCTTGGTGTGCATTCAAGATTTTTTATAATCTGGCCTTAGTCTATTGCTTCCCAGACCTCTTATTTCCCTCCCCCTGTATATTTATACATATGTTTAAATCACGTTGTATTCATCTTATTCTCATCATCATGCCTCACCATCTCATGATTCTTCCTCCCTCCTCAGATCTTTGGGTTCTTACTAAATGCTGTGCTAAATTACATGGCATATAGAATTGAATAGTGGTACTTATGTTGCAGAAGACTACAAACTAAAATCATGTTTAAAACTTGTCTTTTACATTTTGCTTACTTAAAAATGTTGTATCATACTGCTTTGTTTTAATTCCACCCAAGGGAACTATTTTGTACTTTTAAAATAATATCCTCAAGGCCCATAGCATAAGTGTGAACATTAGAATACTGTGGGCAATAAAGAAAAACAGAAGGGGAAAAAAAAGGTTACAGATGGTAAATTCCTAACCATATTTTAAATGATGATGAATTGTTTCTAACAGGTATTTTAAGGGTAAGGTGGGGAAGGGGATTAAGTATGTAAAGTGGCAGATTGGTCAGGGAACATTTGAGCTCTCTCAAAATATTTTCTTCTCTCAATAGGTATACCCGGATACTAATGAAAGATATAGATATACTAAACTCAGCAGGGAAGATGGACAAAATGAGGTTATTGAACATTCTGATGCAGTTGAGAAAATGTTGTAATCATCCATATCTCTTTGATGGAGCTGAACCTGGTCCACCTTACACAACAGACATGCATCTAGTTACCAACAGTGGGAAAATGGTGGTATTAGACAAGCTGCTCCCTAAATTAAAAGAACAAGGTATCTATGTTACTGGTATCAAATTGAGTAGTAATGAAAACTGTTTTAAAATTCTCATGTTAAAATGAGGGAGCACTAATTTGGAAATGAGTACTCCGATACTTTCTAAAGTTCAAGTGTGGAACATTAAAAAACTTCTATTCGTTATTTGAGCTCCAGCCTTCACCCCTGATTTTTAGACTTTAAGTCTGTTATAAGGAATCAATAGTTAGAGTGACCACATTTCATGGATTTGGGGGAAGAGCTCCTACTTTATAGATACTGTCCCAGAAATTTTAGCTTTTTGTCATAAAATGTGAAGAATGCTCCTCTCACCCATCCACAGTTCCCAGATCCTCTGTTATACAGTGATGTTGTGTTCATGGTATTCTTCAGTTATTTATGTGGGTTTTTTATTTAATTAAATATGTACATGGACCTAAAACATTTTTATTTATAGTATGCTGACTTTTTGTTGAAAATGGGTATGTCTGTGGTATGCATTTAGGCATATTTAAATTACATGAATGTACAGGGAACTTAATGCAAAACTAGTGTCAACAATTAATAAAAAGTTTGTTTAATCTGTACTGTACCTGCTTCCCTCTTCCCGGATTATTTGAAGCAAATTACAGACATTATAGCACTTAATACATTATTCAGTATATGTTTCTTAAAGATAAATATCACTCCTAAAAATCCATTGATTCTGTAATATCAAGTATACAAATTTTAGATTTTTTTGTTTCTGTATTCATGATAAGAATGACCATTATATCAGTAGATGAATCTCCACTGTGATACTGACTGTCAAAAACATACTGTAAAAGTTAGCAGTGGATCGGTTTACTTTTTTTCCCTTTTTATACCTTTCTGTGGAAATATATTTTTTAAGATGCTTTCTTTGAAAGCAAAGTAATAAAGGGAATTGAATTTAGTTGGGAGGAGTGGCAGGAACTTGGTGGGAGTACTCACATATTAATGGAAAGCTTTACTAAACTCTGCAGGCAAAGTGGAGATTGTTGAACATCCTTATGCATTTGGGGTACAGGAATGTATAACAGCAGCAGATTGTTAGCTTCAACTTCCAGACAACCATTTCAGAATCATTTTTCAAAATTACCCTTTGTCTTCATACATTCTACTGAAGGCATTATGTAGTTGGCTGGAGAAATGGAAAGCAGTTGAATAACTGGAATCATGGCAGATAAGTGAAGGATGATCAGTGTAGAGAGCAGGAGGCACATATTATGGTCCTTTGATTTGGAATGGGTCTTCAGGACTAGAATGAAACCAGAAGTATTGGGTATGTGTTGGGGAATTTTGGGTGCCATATCAATAGAAGAGTTGTAGGATGGTAGAAAGTTATTTTTAAATATATGTGGGGTAACAAGATAATGATTCTCTTAGCCTTTGGAATGGAAAGACTTCCCAAACCAGATGCAAATATTCTTTTCTGTTTACCTTAGTGTGCTGTGTGCAAATACTGCCTTTTTCTATTTGTGCCATAATAGGAAAGAAGTGGGGAATGACTGACTTGGATAATTAATAGAGTTTTTTCCCTTTATAACCAAGTAGGTAACTTAGAATTAAGGGGTAGTTGATCAGTTTTAGTTTTGATTAGCCTTCAATTTTTATATAAATTTTTCTACTTTTAAAAAGCCTCTGATAATGGGTTATTATATTCACCAACAGGTTCTCGAGTACTAATCTTCAGCCAGATGACAAGGGTATTGGACATTTTGGAAGATTATTGCATGTGGAGAAATTATGAGTACTGCAGGTTGGATGGGCAGACACCTCATGATGAGAGACAAGTGAGTAACATTTGGGGTAGGGAGATAAAAAATACCACATAAAATAATTATCTGACACTTATTTTATATCCATAGGAGTCCATCAATGCATACAATGAACCAAACAGCACAAAGTTTGTTTTTATGTTAAGCACACGTGCTGGTGGTCTTGGCATCAATCTTGCCACTGCTGATGTAGTAATCTTGTATGATTCAGATTGGAATCCCCAAGTAGATCTTCAGGCTATGGTAAGAGATAACAAATAAATATGTTCTGTGCTTAGTAGATGTTTTAGTTAGGGCAAGCTAATTCTATAAATATCAGTGACTTAACCCAGTAGAATTTTGTTTTTCTTTGAGCTAATGGTTCGGTGAGAGTATTTTGAAGTGTCTTACATCCATGTTAGGGTATTTCTGTCTTATGGCTCTGCCGTGTCTTAGGACCTTGGAGTCATCTGCTATATCCTCTGCATCCTGTGGACGTAAGGGGGAAGGGAGAGAGTTGAGGATTGCCCAGGAAATTTTTTATGGGTCAGACCTGACATTCCCCACCTTCGCCCCCCACCACTGGCCAGAACTCAAATCTTGTAGCATAACTGACTGCAGGGGAATTGATAAATGATAGTATAGTTGTATCCAAGGAGGAAGGGGAAATGGGTTTGATGAGCAACTAGCATGTCTGCCACTTTAGATGCTTAAAATTTATGCCCATGTACTTGACCAGATTGGGAAGCTTATGCTGAGAAAATTGATACTGCTCATGGCTGGACCATAAACCCAACTTTATAAAATCTCTGGCACTGACCACTTTATCCTGTACTCTTTGTAAGAGTGGCTGGGGAAAAATGATCCATTGTTAGAAGTAAGGGGTGTTTTGTAAGAATGTTATTTGTGAAGTTACCAGAAGTTAAACAGAAAATGGCATTCAAATTAATTTGACTACTTGTATGTAGTTAATTGTATAATATTTCAAGAATAGAGTTTTTGTATTATTTGCTAAGTTCCATTTATTTGTGTCACTTTTTAATCTGATAACAGTGAAAATTTAGATTTGATTTAGGTAGAAAAACATTTTGAATATAAACCAAGGGAAAAAAGATGAAAAAACACTTTTATCATTAAAGATGAATATTATAATTTTGTTTGTATTGTCTGGAGATGTGTTTTTTACAGATTTAGTAACTATGTTGTTTCCTATATGTAAGTTTTTCTTGTGAGATAACCAATTAATTTGATTAAAACTGAGAATTTAAGAAATATTAATGTAATATTAATCCATTTTTAATTATAATTTTAAAAACGTTTTATACTTGAGATTATTTTAATTTTCTTACTATACCCATTTCCAGTGTTAATTATTTGGCTTTTTATCTATATTCAAAATAACATGGTAATTCACTTAGGACCGAGCACATAGAATTGGACAAACCAAGACAGTCAGAGTGTTCCGCTTTATAACTGATAACACCGTAGAAGAAAGAATAGTAGAACGTGCTGAGATGAAACTCAGACTGGATTCAATAGTCATTCAACAAGGTGAGCCTTAGGAATGTAAAGATTTACCAAGTTGGATTGATACGGCCTGTTTTTGTCTACATTTTTTAAAGGAGATTGTTATTAGGCATTTGTTGAGTCAAGCTAGCAGCCAATAGAGATGACATATTTCAGAGAGAATAAACTTTGGTTTTGTTATTAAGAAGATGGGTTTAGGGACTCAGGAAAGTTGAGGTTTGAATATTAACTCTGCAGGTTAACTGTTCTCTTTCATTACCTGAGCTTGTTTTTTCATCTAAATGCAGATAAAAGGTTTTTTAAAGATTGAAAGGAATAATGTATATAAAACATCTGACATTCAGTGTGGTACATATTAAATAGAACTGTGGTGATACAATTTACACGTACTAAACACGCTTGATTACTACCCTGGGGAATACTGAAGAAATAAAAATCAAAGAGTCTGGTTTTATTCTTTTTTCTTGTCTGCAGCTGTTTACTAAGCACCCATCAGATTATTAGGCACTGCTCTTGGTTCTGAGAATACAATGGTGAATGAAACAGACAAGTGTTCTTACTTTCAAAGAGTTTATAATTTAGTTGGGAGGAAGAGACCACGTAAACAATGATAGAAATAGGACTAGAGGGTGAGTGTGGGATTTTATTTTGGTTTGATTAGAGGACACTTCAAGTTCTCATTCTAGATCAGCTTTTAAGGAGGACGTAATATATTTTTTCATGAAGCTTACTACTGTAAAGCTGATGATGAGATATATAAAATGCAAAAACGGGGGTGGGAAACTTAATAGCCTCAAATGTACATTGGTTCCTTTCCTTCTGTAACTGTGTCATGAGCCATATACTCTGTAAAACTGAAAGATACACTGTTAAATTGTTCACTGATTATTTCATGTATGGGTCACTGGTCTCTAATTTACATATAAGGGAATATTTTACATTTCTTTGGTATCTCATAATGCCAGCCATATTGTTAGCCACATGTCTGAATACAATACATGATTATTGTTACTAATTGTTTTTGTTAATAATAGCTTAACATTGAGTGCTTGCTTTGTGCCAGGCAATGTGCTAAATTCTTAACATTCATTATCTCCTTTAGTCTTAGGGTCAACTTGACGAGATGTTTGACATCAGAGTGAGAGGCCTTAGACAGATTAAGTCTCTTGTCCACTGTATACAGCTCGGAAATGACTCAGTTTAGGGGTTCAAGAACTATGTTAACTATTAATGTGTTTAATTAGGAAAGTCTCTGGAGACTTCTGGAGCCTGCCAACCCATGAGATGATGTCTCATGGGTGATATAATTAATGGCTTATGTTTTTTCATCACACTCATCCATGTGTTTTGACAAACACCTGCCATATGGTTCTTGTTCTCAATTATTCTCACTATAAAATTTTTTTAAGATTAAAAATCTTAATTGATGTATCATATATAATAAACTTAGAAATCTGAGTTTTTGACTTAAGTTTTTTTTTTTTTAAATATTTACTGGGGTGAATTTTGGAGCAAACCTTTGGGCTAGTAGCTTTGTTGTCCCATTTGTAGCTATATTACTCAAACAGCAAGCCTCAGGTGCATAGCTCTGTGTTAATGTTTTGTGGACTGAGGGACATAATTAAAAATGGGAGCGTATACAGAAGCACTTTATATCTCAAAGGCTTCCTCCCTGCCCAGTGGGGAAGTAGTTTGCATAAGCCTGAAAACATTTTGATAGTAATGAGATAACTAGCAATTCAAAGAGGCATATTTTGTGGATATATCGCGACTTTGAAATGTCACAGATGTTTGTTTGTACATTCTATTAGGGATCCAAAACCGTGACACAAATATTTAAAAAAGTCGTTGAACACAATTTGGATCTTTTTCCACTTATTGCAAGTTGGTTGGAAATATAAAAATTGAAGCTTTATTTAGGCATATGTAAATTACCCTTGAGGGTGAAAACAATTCTTTGTAGGTTTTTGTTTGTTTTGATACCTGTATTTTTGAAAACACAAATTACAGACTTGGCCAAATTCCTGCCAGCTTAAGATGTTCAGTAATTTATTAATGTTGTGTTTCTTTTGTGACCCCAATTAGTTTTTAGGAGTTTCAGTTCTTAATGTCAGGAAGTTTTCAGAAACTGCTATTATATATTTTAATTCTTCTATAAAGTTTGGCTATATGAAGGTTTTTTGGTATCTCACTTTTCTGAGGAAAAAAAGGGATTTGGGAGTATAAATATCTTTCTGTTCATCAGAAACTTATTTATTAGGTTATTAAGTATAAAATACCCAATTTCCTTAAGTACTAAGTTTGACAGTTGATATCTCTGACATTTCACTCTGACACTTCTTATTTTACTTTTATTGTGAAGGTACATCCTCAGGCTTGCAAATGCACATTTTGCTTTTGATTATCTTTCAAATTTTTTTAGAGCAAGTTTTGCAAAACCATGAATAAATCAAAAATTGGTGTTATTTTCGAATACAAATTCCGTCATGGAACCAATGCAGCACAGACAGCTCAGAATATCAGTGAAGTTTTTGGGAAGGATGTGGCTAATGAACATGCACTACGTGGATGGTTTGAGAAGTTCTGTTGATTTTAATCTTGAAAATGAGCCACATGGGCGACCTGAGACCAAGGTGGATAATGATGAGATGAAAGCTGTAGTGGAAGTGAATCCATCTCAGCCTACTCACAAATTAGCAGCTAGGTTTGATGTTTACAATTCCAACAATATTGGACCATTTGAAACAAATTGGCAAGGTAAAGAAGCTAAATAGGTGGGTTTCGCATGAATTTAATGAGCATCAGAAAAGAAATCGTCTGGAGCTTGCCTTTCTTTGCTTTCATGACATAAAGGCAAACATTTCTACACCGTATTGTTACATGTGATGAAAAGTGGATTCTTTTTGACAATTGTAAGAGTTCGGCACCGTGGTTGGTTGGATAAAGATGACGTGCCGAAACACCGTCCAAAACCGAATATTCATCCAAAAAGCTAATGGTATCTGTTGGTCTAGTGCTGGTCCACTACAGCTTCATGAAACCTGATCAGTCAATTGCAGATGTCTACTGCAACCAGTTGGAGGAAATGATGAGGATGCTTGTGCTAAAGCAGCTGAGATTGGTTAATAGAGACAGGCCAATCCTCTTGCAAGACAATGCTTGACCACATACCGCACAAACAACGCTGCTCAAACTACAGAAGCTGGACTTAGAAACTCTCTGTCGTCCACTGTATTCACCAGACGTTGCACCAACTGACTACCACTTTTTTCAGGCCTTAGAACACTTCTTGCAAGGAAAAATATTCAATTCTCTAAATAAACTGTGGGAAACACCTTTTCTGATTTCATTGCCACTCGTTCTCCTGACTTCTTTGCTGCTGGCATAAACCAGCTGCTGTTAAGATGGCAAAACTGTATCAATAGTTTAGGTGCATACTTTGATTAATTATACCGCTTCTTATTTGAGATATAACAAACTATACTTTTGAGTCAAAATCAGATATTTCATATTTAATGACCTAATATAATGCTCCCATCAGTTGAAACTTGTGGTTTTTTAAAAATTAATTTTGCCAATAATTTTGATTTTCAGACATCTCAAATTACTATATTTACCCCACAAAAGAATATATTTCATTGAGACAGTATACATAGGCTTCATTATGTAATACATAAGCTTTAGAAACATTTCAAAGCTTACCAACTGAAAATTCGGTGTTAAATTTAAAAATGAAAGTGATCAGATGTGAATAAATAGTAACAAATGATGGATGTTTGAGACAAAATTACAAGGTATTACACATAATATTTAAAATTTCAAGTTTCCAATAAAGTCTGTTTGATAACCTTTATACAACACAATCTTTTTTTAGGGAGGCTTGTGGATCAGAATCTGAACAAAATTGGGAAAGATGAAATGCTTCAAATGATTCGACATGGGGCAACACATGTATTTGCCTCAAAGGAAAGTGAGATCACTGATGAGGATATTGATGGTATTTTGGAAAGAGGTGCAAAGAAGGTGAGATGTGTATTAAATGATGCTTTTAATATAACATATTTTAGATCAGAAGTGTTTGAGGAAATATTTGTTATGTGAATTACAGATAATCTTATTTCCATAAAAGGAAGTTTTTATTAACTGTAAATAAAGTCTAATTCATTTTTAGTATAGGTCTCATGCTTTTTTTTTCTGAATGTAGTAAGGTGTTTCCTTTGTTCTTTAGACTGCAGAGATGAATGAAAAGCTCTCTAAGATGGGT